AACCCCTGGACGTATTCAGCACGCAGAAAACAAGCGTATGTTATATGTCTTTAGCCGCATTTAGCACAGGAAGAAAATAATCATGTGTCTTATCTTTAGCCGTATTTAGCGCAGGGAATTTGTTATTCCAGATGCCTGTCGATCAGCTTCTTTCGTCTGCTTGCAGGGCGCCCCCGCCTGCGCTCTCACCGCGCCAGACGACCCCGGGCATCGCTCCGCGCGCCGCGAGAGACTAAGCTTCATCTTTAGCCCTGAAGTAGGTGCGTATGTTTCCTTCTTCTCACTTTAACCATTTATACGACTAGACACAGTCAAAAAAAGAAAGAAAGAAAAGGAGAAAAAAAAATGAAGACAGAGAGAAAGGATCATTACCACTCACTCGATCTGCGTAATAACCAGCTAACACCCTCGAATTAATCTCCTAAATGCGGCTCTCAGCGCTAATGATCCGAAAACATCAATATCATAATAAGCTCACCATCCCCCAAGGACTTTAATTATTCAAATCAGTAGCACCTGGCAAATTACCCGCCACGGGAGTTACGGCCTGCTGATGGCCGGCCGCCGCGCCTGCCGGCCCTATTAATACATTCTTGCAGGCATCGGCATTCTTGCAGGGTAGGGGCATGGGGTGGTGGTAGGGGCAAGGGGTTGTGGTAAGGGCAGGGGGTAGTGGTAGGGGCAAGGGGTAGTGGTAGGGGCAAGGGTAGTGGTAGGTAAGGGGCATGGGGTGGTGGTAGGGGCAAGGGGTAAGGGCAGGGGGTAGTGGTAGGGCAAGGGTAGTGGTAGGGGCAAGGGTAGTGGTAGGGCAAGGGGTAGTGGTAGGGGCAGAGGGTAGTGGTAGGGGCATGGGGTAGTGTAGGGGCAAGGGGTAGTGGTAGGGGCAAGGGTAGTGGAGGGCAGGGGTAGTGGTAGGGCAGGGGTAGTGGTAGGGGCAAGGGGTGTGGTAGGGCAGGGGGTAGTGGTAGGGCATGGGGTGGTGGTAGGGGCAGGGGTAGTGGTAGGGGCAAGGGTAGTGGTAGGGGCAAGGGGTAGTGGGCAGGGGGTGGGGGGGGGTGGTAGGGGCAGGGGTAGTGGTAGGGGCAGGGGTAGTGTAGGGGCAAAGGGGTAGTGGTAGGGGGGGTGGTAGGGCAGGGGGTAGTGGTAGGGCAGGGGTAGTGGTAAGGGCAGGGGAGGTAGGCAAGGGGTAGTGGTAGGGGGTGGTAGGGCAGGGGGTAGTGGTAGGGGCAAGGGGTAGTGGTAGGGGCACAGGGGTGGTGGTAGGGCAAGGTAGTGTAGGGGCAGGGGTAGTGGTAGGGCAGTAGGTAGTAGTAAGGGCAGGGTAGGTAGGGCAAGGGTAAAGGGGCAAGGGGTAGTGGTAGGGGCAGGGAGTAGTGGTAGGCAGGGGTAGGGTAGGGGCAGGGGGTAGTGGTAGGGGCAGAGGTAGTGGTAGGGCAAGGGTAGGTAGGGGCAGGTAGTGGTAGGCAAGGGGTGTGTAAGGGCAGGGGTAGTGGTAGGGGCAGGGGGTAGTGGGTAGGGGGTAGTGTAGGGTAGTGGTAGGGGCAGGGGTAGTGGTAGGGGCAGGGGTAGTGTAGGGGCAAGGGGTAGGTAGGGCAGGGGGTAGTGGTAGGGGCAAGGGTAGTGGTAGGGCAAGAGGGGGGTAGGTAGGGCAGGGGTAGTGGTAGGGGCAGGGGGTAGTAGTGGTAGGGGGTAGTGGTAGGGGCAGGGTAGTGTAGTAGTGGTAGGGGCAGGGGGTAGTGGTAGGGCAAGAGGTAGTGGTAGGGCAGGGGGTAGGTAGGGGCAGGGGTAGTGTAGGCAAGGGGCAGGGGTAGTGGTAGGGGCAAGAGGTAGTGGTAGGGGCAGGGGGTAGGTAGGGCAGGGGGTAAGGGGCAAGGGTAGTGGTAGGGCAGGGGGTAGTGGTAGGGCATGGGTAGGGGGGTAGTGGTAGGGCAGGGGGTAGTGGTAGGGGGGTAGGGTAGGTAGTGGTAGGGGCAAGGGGTAGTGGTAGGGCAGGCAAGGGTAGTGGTAGGGGCAAGGTAGTGTAGGGCAGGAGTAGTGGTAGGGGCAGGGGTAGTGGTAGGGCAGGGGTAGTGGTAGGGGCAGGGGTAGTGGTAGGGGCAAGGGGTAGTGTAGTAGGTAGGGGCAGGGGGTAGTGGTAGGGCAGGGGTAAAGTGGTAGGGGCATGGGGTAGGGTAGGGGCAGGGTGGTAGGGTAGGGGTAGGGGGGGTGGTAGGGCAGGGGTAGTGGTAGGGGCAGGGGTAGGTAGGGGCAAGGGGTAGTGGTAGGGGCAAGGGGTAGTGGTAGGGGCAGGGGTAGTGTAGGGGGGGGGTAGTGGTAGGGGCAAGGGGTAGTGGTAGGGCAGGGGGTAGTGGTAGGGCAAGGGTAGTGGTAAGGGGCAGGGGGTAGTGGTAGGGGCAGGGGGTAGTGGTAGGGGCAAGGGTGGTGGTAGGGCAGGGGGTAGTGGTAGGGGCAAGGGGTAGTGTAGTAGGTAGGGGGGGGGTAGGTAGGTAGTGGTAGGGGCAGAGGTAGTGGTAGGGGGGTAGTGGTAGGGCAAGGCATGGGTAGTGGTGGGCAGGGGGTGGTGGTAGGGGCAGGGGGTAGTGGTAGGGGCAGAGGGAAGTGGTAGGGGCAGGGGTGGTGGTAGGGCAGGGGTAGTGGTAGGGGCAGGGGGTAGTGGTAGGGGCAAGGGTAGTGGTAGGGGCAGGGGTAGTGGTAGGGGCAAGGGGGTAGTGGTAGGGGCAAGGGGTAGTGGTAGGGCAGGGGGTAGTGTAGGGCAGGAAGTAGGTAGGGCAGGGGGTAGTGGTAGGGGCACTGGTAGGGGCAGGGGGTAGTGGTAGGGGCAACAGGGGCAATGGGGTAGTGGTAGGGGCAAGGGGTAGTGTAGGGGCAGGGGTAGGGGAGGGGGGGGTGGTAGGGCAGGGGTAGTGGTAGGGCAAGGGTAGTGGTAGGGGCAGGGGTAGTGGGGCAGGGGGTAGTGGTAGGGGGGGTAGTGTAGGGGCAAGGGTAGTGGTAGGGGGCAGGGGGTAGTGGTAGGGGCAAGGGGTAAGGGGGGGGGTAGTGTAGGGGCAGAGGGTAGTGGTAGGGGGTGGTGGTAAGGGCAGGGGGTAGTGGTAGGGGCAAGGTGTAGTGGTAGGGGCAAGGGGTAGTGGTAGGGCATAGTGGTAGGTAGTGGTAGGGGCAAGAGGTAGTGGTAGGGGCAGGGGTAGTGGGGGCAGGGGGTAGTGGTAGGGCAAGAGGTAGTGGTAGGGGCAGGGGGTAGTGGTAGGCAGTGGGGTGGTGGTAGGGGCAAGGGGGTAGTGGTAGGGGCAGGGTAGTGGTAGGGGCAAGGGGTAGTGGTAGGGGCAAGAGGTAGTGGTAGGGGCAGGGGGTAGTGGTAGGGCAGGGGTAGTGTTAGAGGCATGGGGTAGTGGTATGGGCAGGGGGTGTGGTAGGGGCAAGGGGTAGTGGTAGGGGCAGAGGGCAGGGGTGTGGTAGGGCAGGGGGTAGTGGTAGGGGGCAGGGGTAGTGGTAGGGGCAGGGCGGGGGGGTAGGGGGGGGGTAGGGTAGGGGCAAGGGGTAGTGGTAGGGGCAAGGGGTAGTGGTAGGGGCAGCATAGGGTAGGGGGGGGGCAGGGGGTAGTGGTAGGGGCAAGGGACAAGGGGTGAGGGGTAGGGGCAGGGGGTTGGTAGTAAGTAGTGGTAGGGGCAGGGGGTAGTGGTAGGGGCAAGGGGTGATGGTAGGGTAAGGGGCAGGGGTAGTGTAGGGCAGGTAGGCAAGTGGTAGGGGGCAAGGGGTAGTGGTAGGGCATGGGGGGTAGTGGGGTAGGGGCAAGGTGTAGTGGTAGGGGCAAGGGGGTAATGGTAGGGGACGTGGCATGAGTGTTAGAGGTAGGGTGGGTGTATGGGGCAGGGGGTAGTGGGTTTAGGGCATAGAGAGGGTAGTGGTGGAGGGGCAAGGGATGGATGTAGTGGGGAGGCTGTGGCAGGCGGGTAGTGGTAGGGCGGGCAGATGAGGTAGTGGAAGTCGCGGCATGGGGGTAGTGGTAGGAGGCATGGGTTGGTGGTAGGGGCAGGGGGTAGTGGGTAGGGGCAGAGGGGGTAGTGGTGGAGGGGGCAAGAGGGGTAGTAGGTAGGCGGCAAACGAAGGTAGTGGGTCAGGGGCTGGGGGGTAGGTGGTAGCCGGGGCAAGGGGTAGTGGGTTAGAGGGGCATGGGGTGTGTAGTGTGTGATGGGCAGGGGGTGGTGGTAGGGGCACAGTGGGGTAGGTGTAGTGGGCCAGAGGAATTGGTAGGGGTAGGGTGGTGGTGGTAGGGGCAGGGGGGTGAGTGGTAGGGGCAGGGTAGTGGTAGGGGCAGGGGAGTAGTGGTAGGGGCGCAGGGGGGTAGTGGTAGGGGCAGTAGGGGTAGTTGGGTATGGGGGGGGGGGGGGGGGGCAAGGGGTAGTGGTGAGGGGCAGGTGGGGTAGTGGTTGGTGTGCAGGGGTAGTTGGTAGGGCAGGTGGGGTAGTGTGAGGGGCAGGTGAGGGTATTTTGTTAGAGCAAATGGGTAGATGTAGGGGCAAGGGGTAAGTGGTAGGGGCGGGGTTGTGGTATGGGCAGAGGGGAAGTGGTTGAGGCAGGGCTGGGTGGGGTTAGGGGCAGGGGTAGTGGTAGGGGAGTAGGGTGATGGTGTGTTAATGGGGGGCAGGGGGGTGAGTGGTAGGGGGCAGGGGGTAGTGGTAGGGGCAGAGGGGAGTGATTGGTAGGGGCAGATGGGAGTGATGTGTGGACAGAGAGGTAGTTGGTATGGGGCAGGTGGGTAGTGTGGTAGGGGCATATGGGTGTGGGACGTGGTGGAGGGGCAGCTAGGGGTAGTGGGTAGGGTGCATTGTGGGTGGTGGTTGGGGCGAGAGGGGGTAAGTGGTAGGTGAGGCAAATGGGACGAGGGTAGTTGGTAGGGATCAGGGTGTAGGTGGTAGGGGGCAAGGGGTAATGGTGAGGGTAATGGGGATGGGTGTAGTGGTGAGACAGGGGTAGTGGTAGTGGCAATGGGAGACAGGGGGGGATTAGTGTGTAGAGGGTGAGCTAGGGGTGAGGGTGGTAGGGGCAAGGGGTGGATGGTAGGGCAAATGGGAATGTAGTGGGGACAGGAGAGGGTAGTGGTAAAGGGACAGGTTGGGTAGTGGTGTGGTGAGGCAAGGGGTGATGGGTAGGGGCAATGGGAATGTAGTGGGGACAGGGGGTAGTGGTAGGGGACAGGTGGTATAGGTAGGGCAAGCAGGGGTGATGGTAGGGGCATGGGAGTGTAGTGGGGACAGGGGGGGTAGGTGGTAGGGGAAGGTGGTAGTGGTAGGGGCAAGGGGTGATGGTAGGGGCAATGGGATGTAGTGGGGACAGGGGGTAGTGGTTGGTAGCCAATGGGTGGTGGCAAGGGGTAGTGGTAGGGGACAGGTGGTTAGTGGTAGGGGCAAGGGGTGATGGTAGGGCATGGATGTAGTGGGACAGGGGGTAGTGGTAGGGACAGGTGGTAGGTGGTAGGGCGGTAGGGGTGATGGCCTAGGGGCACATGGGATGTAGTGGGGATCAGGGGGGTAGTGGTAGAGCTAATGGGGAACAGGGGGTAGTGGGTAAGGGACAGGATGGTTAGTGGTGAGGGGGCAAGGGGTGATGGTAGGGGCAATGGATGTCGTGGGCGGACAGGGGGTAGTGGGTAAGGGACAGGTGGGTAGTGGTAGGGGCAAGGGGTGATGGTAGGGGCAATGGGATGTAGTGGGGACAGGGGGTAGTGGTAGGGACAGGTGGTAGTGGTAGGGGCAAGGGGTGATGGTAGGGGCAATGGGATGTAGTGGGACAGGGTAGTGGTAGGCGGCAATGGGGAAGGGGTAGTGGTAGGGACAGGTGGTAGTAGGGTGGGGCTAAGGGGTTAATGGGAATGTAGTGGGGACAGGGGGTAGTGGTAGGGAGGAGGTAATGGTAGGTGCGAGATGGGATGGTAGGTAGGGGACAGGGGTAGTGGTACGGGGCGTAGGGGGTAAATGGTAGGGGCAGGGGGTAGTGGTAGGGCAGAGGGAAGTGGTGGGGTCAGGGGTAGTGGGTAGGGGCATGGGTAGTGGTAGGGGCAGGGGTGGTGGTAGGGGCAAGGGTAGTGGTAGGGCAGGGGTAGTGGTAGGGGCAAAGGGTAGTGGTAATGGCAAGGGGAGTGGTAGGGGCAAGCGGTAGTGTAGGGGCAGGGGTAGAGGTAGGGGCAGGGAGTAGTGGTAGGGGCAGAGGAAGTGGTAGGGGCAGGGGGTTTGGGTAGGGGCAGGGGGTAGTGGTAGGGGCAGAGGGAAGTGGTGGGCAAGGGGTAGTGGTGGTGGCAGGGGAGGGGTGGTGGTAGGGGCAAGGGTAGTGGCGGTATAGGGGCAGGGTAGGGTAGCATGGGTAGGGGCAAGGGTAGAGGTAGGGCAAGGGGGTAGAGGTAAGGGGCAGGGAGTAAGTGGTAATGGGTAAGAGGTAGTGGTTAGGGGCAGGGATAGTGGTAGGGGCAGTAGGCAGCAGTAAGGGCAGGGGTAGTGGTAAGGGCAATGGGTCGTGTAGGGGCAAGGGTAGTGGTAAGGGCAATGGGTAGTAAAGGGACAGAGGAGTAGTGGTAAGGCAATGGGACAAGGGGGTAGTGGTAGGGACAGGTGTAAATGGTAAGGGGCAAGGGGTAATGGTAGGGGTAATGGGATGTAGTGGGGACAGGGGTAAAGTTGGTAGGGGCAAATGGGGAAGGGGGTAGTGGTAGGGACAGGTGGTAGTTGTAGGGAAGGGGTAATGGTAGGGGCAAATGGGGATGTAGTAGGGACAGGGGTAGTGGTAGGGCAGGGGTAGTGGTAGGGGCAGGGGGAAGTGGGTAGGCAGGGGGTAGTGGTAGGGGCAGGGGGTGGTGGTAGGGGCAGAGGAAAGTGGTAGGGCAAGGGGTAGTGTAGGGGCAGGAGGTAGTGGTAGGGGCATGGGTAGTAGAGGGCAGGGGTAGTGGTATTTTAGTAGTGTAGTTAGTTGTAAGGGGCAGCAAATAGTCAGTTAGGTTGTAGTAGTAGTAACAGTAGTAATACTAGAAATTGTAGTAGTAGAAGTAGTAAGAAGTAGAAGTAGTAGTAGTAGTAATACCAGAAGCAGCAGAAGTAGTAGTAATAGTAATAGCTGTAGTAGTAGTAATAGCTGTAGTTGTAGTAGTAACTGTAGTAGTAGGAGTAATTGTGGTAGTAGTAGCAGTAGTTGTAGCAACAGTATTGATAGTATCAGTAGTAGAAACAGTAGTAGTAGCAGCAGTAGCATAAATAGTAGTAGCAGTAGTAGAAGTAGTAGTAACAGGGGGAGGAGCAATAGTAATAGTAGTTGCAGTAGTAGTAGCAGTAGCAGTAGTAGTAGTAGAAGTAAAAGTAGTAGTAGTAGTGGAATTAGTAGTAGTAGTAGTAGCAGAAGTAGCGTTAGTAGTAACAGTAGCATTAGTATTAGAAGTACCAGTAATAGTAGTAGAATAACTATCAGTAATAGTAGTAGGAATAGTAGTAATAGCAGTAGTAGCAGGAGTAGTAGCAGGAGTAGTAGCAGTAATAGTAGTAGTAGCAGCAGTGATAGGAGCAGCAGTAGTAGTAGTAGTAGAAACAGTAGTCGTAAAAGAAGTAGTCGTAGTAGCAGCAGTAGTAGTATCAGTATAAGAAGTAGTAGTATCATTAGTGGTAGCAATAGTAGTTGTTGTAGTAGAAGTAGTAGTAGCAGACGTAGTAGTAGTCGTAGTAGTAGTAATAACAGAAGCAGCAGCAGTAGTAGTAGGAATAGTAGTAGAAGAAGTAGTAGTAGTGGTAGTAAAAGTAGCAGTAGTAGCAGCAGGAGTAGTACTAACAGTAGTAGTTGTAGTCGTGGTAGCAGAAGTAGTAGTAGTAGTAGCAGTAGTAATAATAGTAGTGGTAGACGTAGTTGTAGTAGTAGTAGTAGCAATAAAGTAGTAGTAGTAGCAGTAGTAGTGATAGTAATAGTAGCAGTAGTAGTAGTAGTAGTAGTAGTAGTCGTCGCAGTAATAGCAATGGTACTAGTAGTAGTAGTAGCATTGGTAGCAGCAGTAGTAGTAATAATAGTAATATTAGAAGTAGTAGAAGTGGTAGTAGTAGTAGTAGCCGTAGAAGCAGAACTTGTAGTTTGAGTAATAGTAGTAGAAGCAGTAGTATTAGTAGTAATAATACTAGTAGTAGTAGCAGTACTAATAAAAGTAGTAGTAACATAGTAGTAGTAGTAGTAGCAGCAGTAAAAGTAGCAATTGTAGTAGTAGAAGTAGTAGTAGTAGTAGAAGTAGATGTAGTAGTAGAAGAAGTTGTAGTCGTACCAGTAGTAGTAGTAGTAGTAGTAGTAGTAGTAGTAGTAGAAGTAGATGTAGTAGTAGAAGAAGTTGTAGTCGTACCAGTAGTAATAGTAGTAGTAGTGGTAGTAAAACTAGTAATGGCAGTAGTAGCACCAGTAGTAGTAGTAGTCGAAGTAGTAGTGATAGAAATAGTAGAAGTAGTAGTAATAGAAGCAGTAGTAGTAGTACTAGTAGTACTAGTAGTGGAAGTAGTAGTCGTAGTAGTAGTAGCAGGAGTAGTAGCAGTAGTAGTAGCAGAAGTAGTAGCAGGAGTAGTAGCAGGAGTAGTAGCAGGAGTAGTAGCAGTAGTAGTAGCAGAAGTAGTAGCAGTAGCAGTAGCAGTGGTAGTAGCAGTGGTAGTAGCTAGTAGCAGTAGTAGTAGCAGTAGTAGTAGCAGTAGTAGTAGCAGTAGTAGTAGCAGTAGTAGTAGCAGTAGTAGTAGCAGAAGTAGTAGCAGTAGTAGTAGCAGTGGTAGTAGCAGTAATAGTAGCAGTAGTAGTAGCAGGAGTAGTAGTAGTAGTAGTAGCAGTAGTAGTAGCAGGAGTAGTAGCAGTAGTAGTAGCAGTAGTAGCAGTAGTAGTAGCAGTAGTAGTAGCAGTAGTAGTAGCAGGAGTAGTAGCAGGAGGTAGTAGTAGCAGTAGTAGTAGCAGGAGTAGTAGCAGTAGTAGTAGCAGGAGTAGTAGCAGTAGTAGTAGCAGTAGTATTAGCAGTGGTAGTAGCAGTAGTAGTAGGAGTAGTAGTAGCAGGAGTAGTAGCAGGAGTAGTAGCAGGAGTAGTAGCAGTAGCAGTAGTAGTAGCAGGAGTAGTAGCAGTAGTAGTAGCAGTAGTAGTAGCAGTAGTAGTAGCAGTGGTAGTAGCAGTAGCAGTAGTAGTAGCAGGAGTAGTAGCAGGAGTAGTAGCAGTAGTAGTAGCAGGAGTAGTAGCAGGAGTAGTAGCAGTAGTAGTAGTAGCAGTAGTAAGCAGGAGTAGTACAGGAGTTAGTAGTAGTAGCAGTAGTAGTAGCAGGAGTAGTAGCAGGGGTAGTAGCAGTGGTAGTAGCAGTGGTAGAAGCAGGAGTAGTAGCAGTGGTAGAAGCAGAAGTAGTAGCAGTAGTAGTAGCAGGAGTAGTAGCAGTAGTAGTAGCAGGAGTAGTAGCAGTATTAATAGCAGGAGTAGTAGCAGGAGTAGTAGCAGTGTTAGTAGCAGTGGTAGTAGCAGTGGTAGTAGCAGGAGTAGTAGCAGTAGTAGTAGCAGGAGTAGTAGTAGAAGTAGTAGCAGGAGTAGTAGCAGAAGTAGTAGCAGGAGTAGTAGCAGGAGTAGTAGCAGGAGTAGTAGCAGTAGTAGTAGTAGAGTAGTAGCAAGCAGTGGTAGTAGCAGTAGCAGTAGTAGTAGCAGTAGTAGTAGCAGTAGTAGTAGCAGTAGTAGCAGGGGTAGTAGCAGTAGTAGCAGGTAGTAAGCAGTAGTAGCAGTAAGTAGCAGGAGTAGTAGCAGGAGTAGCAGTAGTAGCAAGCAGTAGTAAGTAGTAGCAGGAAGTAGTAGCAGGAGTAGTAGCAGTAAGTAGTAGGTAGCAGGAGTAGTAGCAGGAGTAGTAGCAGTAGTAGTAGCAGGAGTAGTAGTAGCAGGAGTAGTAGTAGGAGTAGTAGCAGGAGTAGTAGCAGTAGTAGTAGTAGCAGGTAGTAGCAGAGTAGTAGTAGTAGCAGTAGTAGTAGTAGTAGCAGGAGTAGTAGTAGTAGCAGTAGTAGTAGCAGGAGTAGTAGCAGTAGTAGTAGCAGTAGTAGTAGCAGGAGTAGTAGCAGGAGTAGTAGCAGGAGTAGTAGCAGTAGTAGTAGTAGCAGGAGTAGTAGCAGTAGTAGCAGTAGTAGCAGGAGTAGTAGCAGGAGTAGTAGCAGGAGTAGTAGCAGTAGTAGTAGCAGGAGAAGTAGCAGCAGTAGTAGTAGTAGCAGCAGGAGTAGTAGCAGGGGTATTAGCAGTGATAGTAGCAGTGGCAGTAGCAGTAGTAGTAACAGGAGTAGTAGCAGTAGTAGTAGCAGTAGTAGTAGCAGTAGTAGTAGCAGTAGTAGTAGCAGGAGTAGTAGCAGGAGTAGTAGCAGGAGTAGTAGCAGGAGTAGTAGCAGTAAGTAGCAGTAGTAGGCAGGCAGTAGTAGTAGCAGGAGTAGTAGCAGTAGTAGTAGCAGGAGTAGTAGCAGTAAGTAGCAGTTAGTAGTAGTAGTAGCAGGAGTAGTAGAGTAGTAGTAAGCAGTAGTAGTAGCAGTAGTAGTAGCAGTAGTAGTAGCAGGAGTAGTAGCAGTAAGTTAGTAGAGAGTAGTAGCAGTAGTAGCAGTGGTAGTAGCAGGAGTAGTAGCAGTAAGTCACAGTAGCAGGTAGTAGTAGTAGCAGTAGTAGTAGCAAGAGTAGTAGTAGCAGTAGTAGTAGTAGTAGTAGTTAGCAGGAGGTAGTAGCAGTGGGTAGTAGCAGTGGTAGTAGCAGTGGTAGTAGCAGGAGTAGTAGCAGTAGTAGTAGCAGTAGTAGCAGTAGTAAGTAGGCAGGCAGTAAGTAGAGCAGTGTAGTAGTAGTAGCAGGAGTAGTAGCAGTAGTAGTAGCAGGCAGTAGCAGGAGTAGTAGCAGTAGTAGTAGGCAGGAGTAGTGTAGTAGTAGTAGTAGTCAGGCAGGAGTAGTAGCAGGAGTAGTAGCAGGGGTAGTAGCAGTGTAAGTAGCAGTGGTAGTAGCAGTAGTAGTAAGCAGGTAAGTAGTAGTACAGTAGTAGTTAGTAGGCAGTAGTAGTAGTAGCAGTAGCAGTAGTAGCAGGAAGTAGTAGCAAGGAGTAGTAGCAAGGAGTAGTAGCAGGAGTAGTAGCAGTAGAGTAGTAGGCAGGAGTAAGTAGTAGCAGTAGTAGTAGCAAGGTAGTAGTAAGCAGTTAGTAAGTAGCAGAGTAGTAGTAGCAGTAGTAGTAGCAGGAGTAGTAGTAGTAGCAGGAGTAGTAGCAGTGGTAGTTAGCAGTAGGTAGTAGCAGGAGTAGTAGCAGGGTAGTAGTAGCAGAAGTAGCAGTATAGCAGCAGTTAGTAAGTAGCAGGAGTAGTAGCAGTAGTAGTAGGAGTAAGTAGCAGTAGTAGTAGCAGGGTAGTAGCAGGAGTAAGTAGCAGTAGCAGTAGTAGCAGGAGTAGTAGCAGTAGTAGTAGTAGTAGTATAGCAGTAGCAGTAGCAGAGTAGTAGCAGGAGTAGTAGGCAGTAGTAGTAGGAGTAGTAGTAGTAGCAGGTAGTAGTAGTAGCAGTGGTAGTAGCAGTAGTAGCAGTAGTAGCAGGAGTAGTAAGCAGTAGTAGTAAGCAGGGTAGTATAGTAAGTAGCAGTGGTAGTAGCAGGAGTAGTAGTAGCAGTGGTAGTAGTAGCAGGGGTAGTAGCAGGAGTAGTAGCAGTAGTAAGTAGGAGTAGTTAGTAGCAGTAAGGTAGTAGCAGGAGTAGTAGCAGGAGTAGTAGTAGTAAGTAGCAGTGTAGGTAGTAGTAGCAGTAGGCCAGTAGTAGCAGGAGTAGTAGCAGCAGGAGTAGTAGCAGAAGTAGTCAGGAGTAGTAGTAGGGAGTAGTAGCAGAGTAGTAGTAGTAGCAGAGTAGTAGCAGTAGTAGTAGCAGTAGTAGTAGCAGTAGTAGTAGCAGTAGGTAGTAGCTCAGGAGTAGTAGCAGTAGTAGTAGGCAGTAGTAGTAGCAGGAAGTAGTAGCAGGGGTAAGTAGCAGTGGTAGTAGCAGTGTAGTAGGCGAGGAAGTACGTAGGCGAGTAGTGAGTACAGGAGATAAGTAGCCAGATAGTACGTAGCCGAGTGGTAGAATCAGTATGTAGTAAGCAGTAGTGAGGGTAGCAGGAGTTAGTAGCCGTAGTAGAGTAGCACGGGAAGTAGTACAGGAGTAGTAGGCAAGTAAGTAGTAACAGTAGTAGTAGCGAGTATGTAAGTAGGAGGCTCTAGTAGAGGAGCCAAATAGTAGTAAGCAGGAAGTAGTAGCAGGGGTAGTAAGCAGGTGGTAGTAGCCAGTGGTAGTAGACAGGTAGTGAGTCAAGCAGGAGTAGCAGGGTAGTAGTAGGCAGGGAGTAAGTAGCAGTAGCTAGTACGAGTAGTAGTAGCAGTAGTAGTAGAGTAGTAGCATAGTATTTTTTGTAGCAGGAGTAGTAAGCAGGAGTAGTAGCAGGAGTAGTAGCAAAGTAGGTGTAGCAGTGGTAGTGACATACTTCAGTGAGCATGTAGTTAGTACAGTGTAGTAGCCAGAAGTTAGTAAGGCAGGAGTAGTTAGCAATAGAGTAGGCAGAGAGAAATCAAGCAGGAGTAGTGAGCATATGGAGTAGTAGCTAGGAGTAGTAGCCAGGTAGTATGTAAAGACGTATTATTAGGAAGGGAAGTAGTAGGCAGTACGGTAGTAGCGGTAGTGGTTATGGTAGGCAGTGGCCTAAGTCTAGCATGTAGGTATGCTTGGAGCCAGGAGTGCAGCTTAGCAGATAAGTAGTTAGCGGGAGTGGTAGTAGGCAGTGGTATTCGAGGGACCAGCAAGTAGGTATGGTATAGCAGAAGAGTAGATGTAGCAGCTCGAGGGTGAACAGGAGTAGCTCAGTCAGGAGTAGTGTAGATAGCAGTAGTAGCCAGTAGAGAGCAGGGTGTAGTAGGCAAGGAGAGTAGGAGCTACGTGGCTAGTAGCAGTGAAGTAGGTAGCAGGAGATATTGTATGTCAGAGGTAGTAACGCAGTAAGTACTAGCAGGGTTAGTAGCCAGGAGGTAGTGATCAGGAGTAGTAGCTGAGCTGTAGTCAGCCGAGGAGTGAGATAGCGATGGTAGTAGCATGGAATGTAGTCATAAGTCAGATGAAGTAGTAGATCAGGTAGCATACGCGAGACATTGGTAGTTTAGCAGGCCTAGTGGTAGTACAAGTAGTAGTAGAGCAGGTGTGAGTAGCGAGGAGTAAGGTAGCAGTGGTAGATACGCAGGAGCTCAGTGAAGTCAGGGAGTAGTATAGTCAAATGTGTGTAGTCGAGGCAGAGAGGAGAGATAAGCAGTAATGTACGTAGCGGCTAGAGAAGTAGCGTGGTTTAGAGAGCAGGAGTAGATAGCCAAGTGTAAGTAGCAGGAGGTAAGGAGGCGAGATAGGTGGAGCGATCAGTGTGGCTAGGAGGTACGAAGGAGTTAGATTATGGCTAGTAGTCAGTAGCAGGGTTAAGTAGCAGTGGTAGTAGCACAGTGAGTGAGTAGCAGAGGAAGGCGTCATTAATGGCCGGGCCGTTATGAGAGAGGCTGCGAATAGCAGGCGCGAAACGCGCTGGTGGAGAGGGGTGGTAGGGGCTGAAGGAGCGTGTAGTAGAGGTGTAGTTTAGTAGAGTGGCGAGGAGTGACCGTAGCTAGAGGAGTAGTTGTAGCAGGTAGTAGTAGGCAGAAGAGTAGTGGGGAGTAGTTAGGCGTGAGCAGTGAGTTTAGTAGCAGTGGTAGTGTAGCTTAGGTGTGATGTTCAGAGCCGGGTTAGTATAGGAGCGAGGAGTAGTGCTTGGGTAGTCAGTAGTGATAGCTAGCCCACGCAAGTAAGTGATGCAGCTTAGTAGTGGGGAATAGTGCAGTACGAGTCACGATAGCGGTAGTAGCAGTGTAGTAGCAGTGTAGTAGCAGTGAGTAGTAGCCGATGCTATGGTAGTCTAAGCGCAGGAAAGGATGAGTAGGCAGTAGGGATTACCAGAGCTTGTAGGTAGGAGCTAGAAGTAGTAGCACGTAATAGTAGCCGAGTGGTAGTAGCGGTGGTTGATGAGGCATGGGAGTCACGTAGCGAGGAGATAGTGGACTGCAGGTAGTAGTATAGGCAAGGAGAGATAGTTCATGTAGATAGTTGGATGCAGGGGTAGTGGCTCGGGCGAGGAGAGTGTGTGAGTACAGGCTATGGTAGTGAAGTAGTAGGTAGCTAGGGAGTGGCAGTTACTGCGAGTGAGGTCGAGGTGTGAGTACGCTGAGTTCACGACAGTGAGTGAGTAGAGAGCGGCAGTAGGAGTAGAGTGGCATGTAAGTATGTAGTGAGAGAGTGGTAGCAGGAGGTAGATGGTAGGACAGGTGAGAGGTAGAGCGAGATAATGTAAGGTAAATCCAGTAGTAGTAGGCAGAGAGTACGTGAGAGGAGTTAGTAGACGAGGAGTAAGTGATGCGGGTTAGGTAGTAAAGCTCTCGGTACGCGGGAGTAGTAGCAGATGAGTAGTAGTTCGAGTGGTAGTCTAGCAGGAGTTAGGTAGGCAGTGGTAGGGTAATTCAGTTGGTAGTAGCAGAAGTAGTAAGGCAGGAGTGGACGAAAGACAGTAGTACTGTAGCGGAAGTCAGTAGCAGTCGAGGTACTGTTGGAAGACTCAGGTTAGTAGTAGCAGGAGTGGGTAAGAGCAGAAAGTAGGAGCTTCGAGGAGTAGTAAAGCAGTAGTAGTCGAGGCGAATTGTGTAGTAGGCAGTAAGTAATCTTGCGGTAGATGCGAGAGGTATAGGACAGAGTGAGAGCAGAGTAGTAGCAGTGGGATGAGTCGGAGTAGAGGCATGGTAAAGTAGTCGAGCGAAGTAGTATAGCAGGATCGTAGTAAGGCAGAGAGTGAGTGCAGAGCTAGTAGCTGAAGGCAGGAGTAGGTAGCAGTAGTAATAGTCAGGGTGAGTAGTAAACAGGAGTAGTAGCAGGAGTAGTAGGCAGGAGTTACTAGCAGTAGTAGTAGCAAGTAGTAGTAGCAGGAGTAAGTAGGCAGGGGTAGGGAGGCAGTGTGTTA